CTTAATGAAAACATGAATACAAATTTGAAGGACTACTAGAAGCTAGCTTCCACACATTTCCCGAAAAATATGTAAAAATTATATAATGAGCATTATAGTCCAACAAGTTATAAATATCTGTAATTGAAATCAATGCCTATTATATACTCAATTATATTGGTAAAATATTAAATAATATAATAACATTTTAGTTTTACATCAATTTATCATATATCAATTTAGCATCAAAATCAGTGGTCATCAATAATTAGTTAATCTTATCTATCATATCATGTCAATCAACAATCGTTAATCTTATCCCTCTTATATATCATATATTATCATTGCATGTATCCATATCATATTCTATCCATACATACACATCAATGGTATATGATCTATCTATCAATGCTACAAATGTACATATGCATCAATATAAGATTCAGAAAGGAAGGACATTAATGTGATGTTTCCATCCTTCCATTTATATTAATTATATCATTATATCTTCATCATTATAATTATCATTGCATCATCTTTATTCTTATTATTATAGATGAATTTTAATAAATCATTAAGAGACATCACCCTCTACCCATCGATATAATTAATATTATATTAATTACATGTTACAATCAAGATAACACCATAAACCAATTTTAAGGGAAGCCGGTCGGCCCACCCTCCTGCGTATGATATTATATTTTAACAGACAACCCACATAGGCAAATCCACCAAGGACTCAGGGCCCACCCTCAATTTTTTTTTAATTATTTAGAGGGGAAATTTTGGAATATTTTGGGTATTTTTCCACCCCTCAAAAATATTTTCTATCATAATTTTATCAATCCTAAGTATCTTTGCCCATCTCCTACAAAACAAATATTTTTTTGCCCACCCTGAAAAAAGCTGGATCCGCCCCTGCAACCCATATAAATTATAATATTAATAACCATCACTTTTTGCTTACATGTAATGGTATATTTATCTTATATTAATTGTATCAATCTCTCTTTAATGTTTGAAATGCAACATGAAATGTATAGATCTATAAATATAAAAAAATTTGTATATTAGTATATAGCTTCAAAAAATCATAATATTTAATTTACGTGGTAAAATTTAGAAAGATTCTAGTCAAAATATTCATATTGATGGCATATATCACATATCAAAAGTTATGCGATGAAAGATCACTTAAATGAGAGAGATAAAATTTATACCACATCTAGAAGGTAGAAAATGTACCAAACTCATAATTATTGAAAATAGATGTAGAGTAAAGGTTACTTACAATGAGTAAAATAACTTTCCTATAAAAATTTATGAATCTAAATATCCAAAGGTCCCCTTTCTCTTTCCGCTCTCCACTCCTCTTCCTCCTCTTCTCCCTTTCCTTCTCGAGCAAGCCCGTCGAATGAGGGAGAAGGGGAGGGCTGAGGTACTTTAGTGCTTAGGATTTTTGAATTTAATATAAATAAAAAACACTGTTAGCGGCCTAACACCACAATGCTCCAACCTAGCATCACATTGCTGTGTATTGAATTCATAATTACTGTATAATAGCATCAAATGTCTTGGCAGGGATTTCTAGTGCTAATGTGTTCACAGGCACAATGCCACAACATTCACATGCTTAGTGCCATAGCGCTCCAATTTAGACATAAATTTTAAATTTTATTTTAAAATACTTTTCATATTTTGAGTTGTTACAATTTATTCAACTTAAAAAATATTGCCCTCGATATTTCTTAACAAAATGTATCACAAGCTACATTTCAAAAAAATTATAGGTGCATCTTCTCTTACATATGTACATATGAATCAATCACATCAATTAATCATGTAGCATGTAAGGCCAATCAATTCAATAAAACTAATAAAGTACATAATTAATTATTCAAAATAGAAAGTCATACTTGTAGAACTATCAGGCTCTTTTTATCGAGATTGGTCAGTACTGGCCATAGTTTCTTCACTAGTCGGAATGACTCCTTATCCATATCCATGTAATGGATAATGCATCATCTTATTTTCATAGTTACCTAGTGGGGTGGCAGGCACAAATAGCTAAATGCTTAATTTAATTTCTACTCTTATTTCTTAATTTCCTTTGTTTGAGTGAGAAGGTCAATATTGAGAGTGTTGATAGACTGATCATATATGATCCAATTCGATTTTTAGTAGTCTCCCTTGGACAAAATGAGTTATATCCCTCTAACTTCTACTCTTATTTCTTAATTTCTTGTGTAGTAACTAATTTGTAATTTTTAGCTTGTTTAGTAATAGAATTTTACTTTTTTTAAACTAAAAGTGCACTAAGTTTTATGTATGTTCAAAGAATAGATTACCTGTGTTGAGAAGTCATGTTATATTTTATAATTTCATGTGCTTAATTTAACTATGTGGTTGGCCACTCACTGTTTAAAATCAAGTTTGATATACGACCTTGACGTAGGCGTTGTGGAATCAACAAAAGAAATTTTAACAAGTGTTAATTAGAGTTAGATACATGCTAATTTAATATTTTGGATCTTAAAGAGATGTTTTAAAATGCAACAGTAGTTAGAATATGGACGAACTCGACAGAGGTGAATGATTATTATTGCTTTGATTCATATTAACTAATTGTAATTTGTGTATTTAATTTGGATAAAATTAAGAATTGTAATAATTTATAAATTTTATATATCTTATAAAAGTAAGGAAAAAAAAAAACAAAGCGGAGGATATATTTTACTTTTGTTAGTTCACTTTTAAGTTTGCAAGCAAATTTGCAGTGTTTGGCAAAACTAGTGTGAGATCTTGTTCCCTTACTGTTCCTCTCTGAATTGGATTTTCCTCCCAGGATCGGCCGGGACGATATTGAGATCGTCCAGGCCGATCAGTGCATTGAAACTGGCTGATTTCTGGAGTGTTTTCTGGAATGATTTCTGGACTGGATCGTCCAGGCCGATTTGGATCGTCCGGGGACGATCAGATACGACAAGAAT